GGCTGAGGCCAGCCAGCAAAACAAGCCACAGAGACAATAAAATCACGAAGCCACCTGGGGGATAACAAAGAGGAACTATAAACTTGTAGAGATCTAGGGGGGATCTTGTAGATCCCTTACGTTAGAGGAGGCACTTTCCTCCCGCAGAAGGAACCTTCTCCTGATACAACAGACTTTTCCGTGGAGGAGAGGGTATGACGTCCTCCTTATTGAGGAGACTGTTTTTTCCTTTAAAACCCACTCTGTTCACATAAACTTGGTAGATTACTGCTGCCACCAGGACTTAAAAATTCCAAATCTCTCCCCAACACCCCCTTCATTATAATTTTTAAAACACTGTAAAATACAACATCACTTTCTGTTCGGGTACATTTATATTCAACATTTTGGATTTCAAAGTCCATAACTAATCTGTTTTACATCTACATTATTGATTTCATCTTTACTGCATATTCAGTATTACATATTTTTGCCACCTCTACCTACTCAGTGTAACTTCTAACAGTAAGTAATATATAAGGGTACAGAAAGAAAATCTGTGATATATCTCATAATAAGAAGGTATAGGATACTTCTGCTCAGGATCCACTTCTTTATATATTTATATTCAACATTTTACATTTAAAAGTTACTCTTGCTCTGCTTCTACATTTCAATATATTTGTGTACACATTTTTTCAACCACTTCTCATTCTGAATTTGTCTCCTGCCTGCATAATACACGCTCCATCTCTTCTCAAATTTTGTGATTGATCTATTTCTCAGACAGGTTGTTAATTTCGCCATTACTGCATATTCAGCAAGTTTATTTTCCCATTCTTCTAGGCAGGGGCTGTCATGTAGTTTCCATTTTGCTGCATAGATCATTCTAGCAGCTGTCACCATGTGTCTGAATATCTCTTCCAAAATTGCTGGTAATTTATTAGGCAGTATACCCTAATAAGATATTCTTAGTTTCCATAGGGAATTTAAATTTTAATGTTCTGCATTTTTCCATGTATTTCCTTCCAATATTTTTTTGCTTGTTTACAAGTCTACCACATATGACAAAAAGTTCCGTCTTGGCATTTTCAGCATTTTCCTTTGTAGTTTTTGTCTGCTTTCTCATTGTCCTCTGGGGTTATATACCATCTTAAAAACATTTTGTACCAATGTACCAATGCCTTGTTGGCTGTAAACTTGATTGCTTTTACCCATAAGCATTTCCATTGATCCATAGATACCTGATCTCTAAAATTCTGCATCCATTTGATCATACACATTCCCCTTGTTCTTCTGTTTCTAGTTGGAGTAACATCTTATACATTCATCATAGTAAATGATCTTTTTGTTTTGTAATCAACTCTTCGAACTCAGTCACATCTCTTAGAGCTCCACCTTCCATGTTAATGATCCTCTTTAGTCTTGAAACTGATTGATTGAATATTAATTCCATCTTTAATATCTTGCCAAAACTTGTTTTTCCCTTGAGCATTTACTATGTTTCCATACAGCAAAAATGTCATTTTTATTTCTCGTGTATTGATCATGATCGGCTTCTATTGGGGAGAGTTTGAAGGGCTCAGTAAATTCCGGCGTATAAATCATATTCTCAAAACTCCATCTCTGATTATATGGCTTCTTTCTCGTGTTATGGTCGTTTTGATTGATCTCTTAATCCATAAATAATTGTGGAAACTTCCTTCCAGATCTACTGATTCAAGTTTTACTGTTCTTGGTCTTGGGTTTTTAATCCAATCTGTAATCCAAACCAGGCCTGCCGCTTGATAATATAATTTTATATTTGGAACTGCTGATCCTCCTCTCTTTTTCTCTTCTTGCAGTATCTTAAGGCTTACTCTTGGTTTCTTAACCATTCCAATAAATGTGTTTATCTGTCTCTGCCACTCTTTCAGTATTCTTCTATATGTATAGGTAACATTTGAAATTAAAAAAAAAGTTTTGGCAGTACATTCATTTTGATTGTCCAAATTCAAAATCGAGCAACAAACCGGAATTCACTTGAAAGCTTGTGCACACGTTTGTGTCATTGTAGCTGGTGCCAGTAAAGGTTTTAATTATGTGGATTGTTGTTTGTTTTAAGAACATTCTAGCATCAGCCTTGGAAGAGCAGGATTTCTTCCTTCATAACTGCTGCTTTTCTCTTTTGCACTGGATGGGTGGGGTCATTCCTTATTATTTATATTGTGGTCATTCCTTATTTTCCAGCCATGCTAAGGATGTCAGAAGATCACGTCCCTCCAGAGCTGAACAAGGTAGCACTCCTGTGGTCCTGTATTTAAAAATAAATAGCTTTTTTAGAAACCAGGGCGAAATTTTTGGTTTTTACCTATTAGTTTCCCCCGGGGGGGGGGGGGGGGCTGCTAAAAAGCTGTTTTGTGTACTGTATTTCGTATGCGTTTTTTAAAACGTACAATTCTCTCTTTCTCGTAGATGACTCAAAAAGATATTACCTTTGTGGCTGATTTTCTAACTGAGCACTTCAATGAGGTAAATGGTCTCCGCTCACCGTGTTCCTTCCAGGGTTGCATCCCCCAGGTCTGCGATTGCACCAGCGGGATGATAGATGCCCTTGATGTAACAGCGCTTCTCTTGGAGCAGGAGGGAGGGGAGGCCGATTTTCACCGATTCTCCCTGTCTGCTGCAGAGCCCCGCTTTGTTCTCCTTGCTGTTCCTGAGGGACCCTTGACCCCAGGAGCAGAACTTTGAGGGGTTTGGTGGGCTGCGGCCATAAGGGGGAGTCAAGGGAGTCCTGCGCCACTAGCTCCACGCTGCTGGCCGTGCTTTGGATTCAATTGCCAGTTTTTAGCGGTTCCAGGGCTGGCTCACTCACTAGGCGAACTAGGAGATCGCCTAGAGCGGGCCGGCCCTTAGGGGCGCCAAACTGCACCCAACCCCGTACTCTGAGAGTTTCGTGATTATTTGTGTTTTTCATTCTTCCTAAAATGCATTTATTTTTAAAACAGCGGGGGGGGGGGGGGGGGGGGGGGGGCAGAAGGGATCCTCGCCTAAGGTGCAAAATAAGCTTGGGCTGGCCCTGAGCGGTTTCATTTGATTTGGGGGCCCGGTGCCCCAGGCCAGGAGGGTGCAGAAAGAGGCATCTGCTCTTGTTTCTCAGCCTTTCCCGTCCACTTTGCAATACAGATGGAGATCCCCTTCTGGAGCCAACCTAGACCTAGTATGCTAGACCAAGTGCAGGCCCACAAAGCTGTGATTTAAATACACCTGAGCACTTTGTGACATTGCGCTTGCAAAACCGGTAACTGTATGATGCGTTCTGTGTTTGCTTCCAGGCACCTGAACTCTACAACCGGAAAGGGAAATACTTCAATGTGGAAAGAGTGGGTCAGGTAACCTATGATAGAGATGAGAATGTGACTTGCAAAGGAAAGGGTCCCTGGAGCAGTTGCAATCGGAAGATCACCACGCGCTCCCCCCCCCCATTTTGAATTAAATTAAGGCCATGAAATGAACTTGTGTGTGCTTTAATCGCCCGCTCTGGTGTAGTGCAGCATAGTGGTTAAGTTTGGTGTGGTGGTTAAGTGCGCAGACTCTAATCTGGGAGAACCGGGTTTGATTCCCCACTCCTCCACTCGCAGCTGCTGGATGACCTTGGGCAAGCCGTAGATCTGTCAGAGCTTTCCTTGAAAGGGCTGTTCTTGAAAGAGCTCTCTCAGCCCCACCTACCTCACAGGGTGTCTGTTGTGGGGAAGGGAAAGGAGTTTGTAAGCCGCTCTGAGACTCCGAGGGAAGGGCTGGGTATAAATCCAACCTCTTCTTCTCTTCTTCTTCTTCTTCTCTCTGCTCACTCACTTACACAGTCTGCCCTCCTCTCCCCCTTTCCCACTATTTTCAAGGCATTGGGGTTCTCCAACCAGTATCTGCTACCCCGCGTCTAGTTCCTCCACAAAATGCTCGGACTACAGCGATAGAGCGACATGGCTGATGTGTGCAAATAGTCCAATGTTATGCAGGTTTACTCAGGAGCCAGTCCCACTGTAGTCAGCAGGTCTTAATCCCAGATAGATGTGCACATAGCGTTCCACTGGTGACTGTCTTGCTGTCCTTGATAACAGTAGTCCTGTTGTACTAAAGGAGGGTGCTTTTCATTTTCCTGAAGGCAAAGTTAACAATGTGTGAATACAAATTAAAATGGAGCCCGGATATTTCTGTCTCGGGTGATACCTTTGTGGGAAGAGATGGGAAATGCCTTTCCTTCCTTTGACAGCCGCTGGTCACGAGTTACTCATGCTGCAGTTTCCGTCACTGGTTTCGCGGGGCAAAGGTTTACAACGCTCTCTGATTAACCATTCCACTCTGCCTAGATAGCAGGGCATTTTCAGTAACCTGCAATCCAGATAATAAAAGAGTTCCAAAAGATGCAGCGAGAGAGAGAGACACTAAGCTTTTTGGTAGGCTAACAGCACAATCCGGTGTGGAGTTACTCCAGTCTATGCCTATCAAAATCAGTGGGCTTAGGCTAGAGTAACTCTTCACAGGGCTGCACTGTTCATCAGTACTGACTTCAAAATGAAATGGGAGAAAGATAGTGAAAGACTTCTGATGGGTTTCCTCCGGAGTCAATCAAACAATCCTTTGTCTTGTTCAGAAATGCCTTGTCCAAATTCACTTTCTTGTAGTATTTGAAAGATGAAGATGATGATCTCGTCTCCCCACCGAACACAGAAGGAAACCAGTGGTTTAACTTCATGCAAAATGGCAGCCATCTTAAAGGTACTGTGTCCTTTGGGGTGATTCGCAGGTGCTAAGGATTCAAAGAATAAATCTAGCTTATTGGAGGATAAGCAAGAATGGCAGGTGACGTGTGTGAGGTAAAGAGGGTTTACCTGATTGTACATGTAGAAGAAGAAGAAGGAGAGTTGGTTTTTATACCCCGCTTTTCACTACACGGAGGAGTCTCGGAGTGGCTTACAATCGCCTTCCCTTCCTCTCCCCACAACAGGCACCCTGTGAGGCAGGTGGGGCTGAGAGAGTTCTGAGAGAACTGTGACTGACCCAGGGTCACCCAGCTGGAGTGGGAGATAAAACCCAGTTCTTCAGATTGCTCTCAACCACTACACCACAGTGGCTCTAGGCTAGGGAGAGTCTATGAAGTGAGATTTCTAAACTAAGGGATCGTTCGGACAGTCACTTCTGTATGTACTTTTTATGCTGTTTTGTTGGATCAAACCAGCTTTTCCACTGGTGAAGGAAGGGAGCATTCTTGTCAGACTCCACCTACAGGCAGGGTTGGAGTCCAGGGTGGGTGCGCCCTCCAGCCTTTCCCTTTCTTATGCGTCCCAGCAAAAGGTGAGGAGGGAGTTTACAACACCCATCGCTCTCTTTCCCCAGCTTTTGGTCCACCCTTCTGATTGCTTAGGTGTGGTTGGGCCTGTCCTCCCAGACTGCCTTGCGGTTATGCCTATAAATGGCCTGCCTGGAGGCGGGGCCACCCCGGCTCTGCCAGTGCCCTCCAATTAGGGGTGGGGCCTGCCTCATCCCCAGTTTCTGAGCCAGTGGGCTCCCGCCCCTAATTG